TCTGCTCTCCAGAGCAAGTAGATTGGTAACCCCGCCTCCTGCTCTCCTCTATCTTGTCTGCTGTCCAGCAGCAGAGTTCAGGAAGAGAAACAAGAATGTTCTGATCCAACCAGCAGCGGCCGTGGGGGACGGTTCTGCTGCTAGGTTCAGGGCTGGGATCACAGAAGGGTCTTACCTGCTTCAGGTACAGGAAGAAGCTGGAGTACTGGCCCGCTTCAGGCAGGTAGGACAGGAAGACGGTGACGCAGATCAGCAGCACCGTGGAGTCCTTCCCGACCCGCCGCAGAGACTGGAACCAAACCAGAAGACATTAGGAAAGCCACGGCGGAACCCCGAGGTTCTGATGGGTTCTGATGGGTTCTACGGACTCACAGCGAATGGGTCGGCCTGGGCCCAGGAGATGGGGAACCCCCACGACGACAGCCTCATCTTCTCAGGCAGAGACTCCGGAACCAGGAAGAACACGAAGGCGATGTCAGCCACCGCGATCACCGTGGCGACCAGCACCACCAGGCTGTCCCCGTAGCGCGACGACAGGTAAGCGCCGATGGCCGGGCTCGTCACCAGGCTGGCGGCGAAGGTGGCGGACACCTAGGAGGGGGAGGAGATCAGGTTCTGATGGCAGTTCTGGTTCTGGAGCTCATGGACTCATCTGCAGAAACTCTGCAGGGTCCACTTCCTGTCAGCAGGGGGCAGACTTTAACTTTCCATTAGTTTTTAAATCAATTTAAAGTGATGATGTCACTTCCTGCTAAATTCCCAGATCTCATTTGGACGTTTAAGACGAAAAAAAAAAGGACAAATTGAACAGAAATGATTTAGCTGCTTCTAGTAGAACTCCAGTGATGTCACAGACACCGAGCGATCCGATTGGCTTTCTGTACCAGTCCGTAGGCGGTGCTCCTCTCGTGCTCCTCAGTGATGTCAGCGACGTAGGCGAAGATCACGGAGAAGGTAACGGCAAAGATTCCTGAGACGGCGATCAGAGCGAAGTACCACCTGAGAGACAGAACCAGGTCCAACAAGGTGTCAGATGATCTACAGAACCGGTCTACAGAACCGGTCTACAGAACCAGTCTACAGAACCAGTCTACAGAACCAGTCTACAGAACCAGTCTACAGAACCAGTCTACAGAACCGGTCTACAGAACCATTTTGTCCAAATCATCTCAGTGGTCGACAGGACTGATCCGTGACGTTTATCTCCCTGTCTCTGATTGGTCGTCTATGGACTGACTTTAGTAAAACAGTTTTTTTTAAACAGAAATTAAAAACAAAGAAAAACAAAACAAAACAGAAATTAAACTTTTACAAACTTTTTAATCTAGGAAAAGGTTTTTGAGTGAAACTGTTTCTTAGATATTTATATTTCTGAATAATTTTTCAAATAAAATTGTTATTTTTTTAATAAAATTAAATGTTTTTAACTGATTTTATCCTATTTTTTCGTTGTAAAGATCACATTTTCTTCCCTTCCAGCTGAGTCCAGAGTTCTGAATCTAACTGAGAATCTGAGACGGAGCTAAAGGTTAGGGTGATGGCAAAGAGCCTCTCTGATCCAGCAGAACCGCCAGCAGAGACCAGAACCCAGCAGGTAGGATGAGCAGAACCACAGAGGTATGAATACTTCTGACCTTCCATGTAGATTTGATTCTTTCTGCTTTTGCTTGATGAGATAAATTCTGTTTTATTGGGTCTCTGGATAAAATTAAAGTTCAAACATTTCCATGACCCAGAAACAAGCGGGCCTGAGCTCAGAACTCCAGCAGAACAACAGGAACCAGTGACCCTGCAGGCGAGCTCGGAGCATCAGCTGATGGAGTCCAGGACATGAGATCGGATCAGGATCAGCTTCTCTGAACAGAACTAAAGGTTCTGCTGGTCCATGCAGAACCAGCAGCCACCAGCAGGGGGAGCTGGAAGGCGGCTCACATGAGAACCTTGTGACGGTTTGAGCTCCTGTAGAATCAGGGCTGGATCCTCAGCTCAGGCTGCAGGAACCAGAGCCCGGTCCAAACCTCCAGCAGAACAGAACCTGAGCATCTGAGCCGGCAGCAGAACTACAATATAATTCTAATTTGTGACAGTTCTATAAATGTCACTACAAAATAAAGTTGAAAAAGTAAGCAATTTTATTGTTTTGTCATATTTTTCAGAGATTTGCTAAAAAAGTACTTAATTGGTGCATATTGTGATATATATCTTTATTGTTATATGAAATAGTCCATATCGTGATATATGATTTTTTTCCTAGCACTAACAGTATAAAATAATTCTGATTTATGGCTGTGATAGGAGAGTGGACTGTCGAGGAAATTTGATTGATTTTTCTCTAAAAATTAAATCAATTACCCGGGGGTAATCAATTAAAAAACAGCGGGGTCTGAATTAAAAAAATAATAAAAAAAAAAAAATCAACCAGTAAAGTTCCAGAGACATTTTTAATTATAATCTGTTACTTTAAACAGAATTTAACACTGAAATAAAATTGGGGTTTTTATGCATCAATGTTATACATTGACCTTTTAAATGATAAAAAAAAACATTTTTCCATTTTAAAATCTAAATTGTTTTTTTTTTTAAGTAGAGAACAACAATCGTTCAGTTTCCCATATTTTCTCAAACCCCTGAACTGATGGTTTGTTATTTTCTTTCTTTTTTCTGTCTTAATGTTGGCAGTGGGCTTTAGGCTGCCCTGCAAGGCTTTAAACCTGGGTTTAACCGGAGACTAAGCCATTCTCAAG